TGGTCTCCCAGGTTTAGCTGTGAAACCCATGAAGCTCCCAAGTGCAGCAGGGAAGTCTTCTTAAGCAAATCTTTTTTTAGGTCCGCTTAACGCTGAGCAATCCCGGTCCAGGGCATATTACGAGAGCATTATAAATGGTGACGTAGATGAAGAAGAACTGGAGCAGGTGAGGGAGTGGGAGGAAAATTCCCGGCGAGAGTTCGAAGAGGCGTCATCGCGACCATCGAAGCGCTCGTCAAAACGAAGAAAAAAGCCCGACGACGAGGTAGGTGACGTTGTTTGGCCGCGTTTTCTTTCACAGATCGATCGATCAATCGGTTTCCTATTCTCTTCTGTCTCGTTCTCCCTCTTTAGTTTACTGGAGGCGCTGTTCGGCTAGGGAGGGGCATTTTGCACTGCTAGTTCCTTCGGTGGTTCGTGTTAAAATACACGTCACACCTTGGTGAGGCCTATAGACTGCAAAGGAGGCATCGGAAGAGATCGATGCGAATATGCGAAATGCCCTCCCCCCACCAAGCCGAACTGCCCCTTTTTCAATCACTCGTAATAGATGGGTTTTTATTGACGTACCGTTCCTTTTTGTACCTGAGATGACCTTATTGGGTCGTATCATGCCGTGCAATGCAGCAAAGGATTTGCCGCCTTTTGTAAACGGATACCCACCCCCATTAGCGATCTGAATTAATGCTTTGCACTTGAACAATTCTGTAGAATTCATTGAGACGAATTTTAGCGAAAAAAGCTAGTGGGCGGTGGGCGGGGCGCGGGGCGGTGTGCCACGTGCGGCGAGACTGCCATGTCATGTCTACCTTTTTCTGTCTGGTCTAATATTCCGAAGCCCTAGAAGGGTTACATGAACTGCATTTTAAATCGCAGTTGATGGAGTGAAATGTGGCAGGAATCGCTTCAATACTGTTACGGGCACTCTCTCGTTGAGAGGACGCAGACAAAGTGACGTGATCTGGCATAGTCAGCCAGCCGCGTTCCCACCCCACCCCGCCCTCCTTCCCCCTCTAGCTACATGCTTTTGCCGAGAATTTTCTACTTTTTCAGACTATATCACGTGTGAGCATTTATGGGCAAAGGAATCGTTGAATTGGAGAAGGTCAGGAGGACTGGTCGGTGACAGACCTTACTTTCCGATTTGATTGGAGAACAAGCATATGGAGTGTCATGCTTGTAAACATCGTTCCGCGGATTCCTGCACGGGTGATTGCAAAAATTTGTTCCCAGATTCTGATGTGGGAGCTTATCCTTGTAAGACCTCATAGAGTTACCCATATCAGATTTTTTGAAAGTAATTTTGAGTTGGAATCAAACATACAGTTCGTGTTCCGTGATAATTTGCATTTGCTGATTTTTTATTGTTTCAACTTCGTGGCCTTGATTTTTTGGCGCGCTGCAAGGAGAGCAGTCTCGTGCCTTCAATTGAATGTAGAAAATGGAATGTTCTGATTGTCAGGCTAGTCTTATCGGCAGTTCCGCTCTTTCTCCTTGTCATATATCTTTCAGTTCTAATGGATCCTGTTTCTTGAAAGACATTCCCGCGCTCAAGCAAGTCGTAAGCGTTCTTCCTTGTACAAGTGGTCTAGTCATGTCTCTAAAATTGTCCTATTTTCACGACTTCTCAGTATGTAATGAGGGCGCTGTGGCCCTCATAAGTGGCAGTTCTGACGGGTTACGTGACATCTTGAACTTTTGTGCATGGTCCTGTTACGAAACCCTGTGACGCAGACGGATAGAGGGCAGCGGCTGCCAAAGCATCGAAACGTGCAAAAAACGTATGGCGAGCCAGGAAACGGGTTTTTTAAGGGAGGGACTCCGCGGTGGGGCTACTTATAGTCGGTGAAAAGCTGGAGTGAGCGAAGTCACAACGGCCGTAGAGTGCCATGCGGACGAGAGAGTGCAGAGAAAAAGAGAAGATCGACGCGTTCAAAGGGATTGAGTTCAAGTTGTCCGTAGACCGCCTCACTAGTTGTCGCGGCCTTTAAAAATCTAAGGGTATTTCCTCTCACAGCGCGTTTTTACACCCACCCCGGAGTCCCTAATGGTTTTTACAGCGCGTTTTTCGCTTTTTTCGTTGTATGATAGTATTATCTTGGATGACGCGGAGGAACGATTCAGACTTCGCGACGGCAGCGCTTCGGTCGCGCGTTCGACGCGATCGATGCAGTCGAAAGCATGCGCATCGATCGCGCCGAATTTCGCGACCGAAGCTGCCGTCGCAAAGTCTGACGCTGCCTTAGTCAACCAGAAGAGACAAGGTATCCATTTGCTGGCGTAAAAAGAGCAGTTCCGGGGAACTCGTACAGTGAGGCTGCTAGGGAGGATCCTTATTTGGGGTGTTATTCATGACTTTTCTTTGATTTTCTTCTTCCCTTGTGATTCACCTGGCGACTGCAGAATGTCCCACCTCACAATATGCAAAAGCGCGGTTTGTCTTCAAATGCTTTGAGTGGACAGAAGTTCTTCTCCCTCAAGGGGTTTTCCAGGGGTTGCTTCCCATCGCATGCGTTAATCGTGGGAGTGGCGGAATCAGAAAGCAGACGTTTCGAGACGCCCTGTGAGTCGCTTGTCTACCAACCTTGAGCAGGGCCTCGAAAGGACCCCTTCCCACAAACTAGCCCTCCCCTAATTCTTACCAGGCTTCTGTCGAATGGCTTGCTAGATAAGCGGTGTGGTTTGACTGTACACCAGTAATGAACGGGTGTCGAAAACCTTTAGGGTTAGAAACTGGTAGGACAGCTGTTATTGTAGTTGTTCTCAATTAGTTGCTCAGTTTGTCTTGTTTTACCTGCCATTTCATTTTTTCTCTTAATTTTGCTTGAATTTGCTCCCAAAAAGTTCGTCAGGAGTAAGAGTTTTAAGTGTTGTTTGAATAGTTTGCTAGCAAACTCAAGTCTTCTTTCAGTCATTTCTGCCATTTGTTTACGGTTTTGTTGTGTAATTGTTGCTGTATGTTTGTAAAGTATTTTCTACTAGTCATACTAGTCCCCTCTTAGCAGCAGTGATCATTGATGAATGCGTCATACCCCGCCTACATCTGCTTATCACGTTGTCCCACCCACTGGTTTTTGATGTGTTGTGTGATTTATAAAGGAGGCGTGTCCTTGTGCAGTCCTTGGGGTTTCCCCGCGTGATGTCTGGTGAATCACTGGTCTATTTCTCGTCATTGTAAAGTTTATAAAGTTGTTATTATAAGTGTTTGAATGTTTTTGAACTGTATATCGGTTACAGTACTTTTCTGAACCGTGATGTTTCATGTATTGGTGATTATTTTGCTCTGACAATTTTCAGATTCATATTTTCTTCTAGAAAAGCCCTTAAGAATTGGATGTTATCGTTTCGATTAGCGGCTTCTTTACGTACTGGATCGTTTATAGCCCGGCGATCGATCAGCTATGCGGCAGCACCAGCGAGAGCATCAATAAGGTAGGTATAATTTTACCATTTGTCAGATTTTTATTTTTTATGCCGTATTTGAAGGCTAAGGTGTGTAGTGGCAGGCAGCACGTTTGCCTAAGCGCGGTACGGGGATCGGATCCGCTCCCGCCGAGGGCAACCGAACCTTCTACCCTCCGAATGTGGAAAATTGATACCAGATTCGTCCTGAAGATACGAACACCGATTCGTACAGTGGTGGCCCTTGCCCCCCCCCCTCCTCAAGTCATGGTATAGGACCCATCGCATTCAGTAAGCCACTACGAGCCTGAATGGAAGTGGAGTGCCTGGCGCTTCCCCAAAACTGTCGATCAACGGCGAAGACGTTATCCTTTATCCTTATCACTTCTTAAATTTCATGGCACTGCATATATCTTTCTTACGTTTTTTTCTCCTCACTTCTTTCGCCTCCTCTTTTTTTTATCTTTTCATCCATTTGGGTGTTTGCTGACTAGCTAGCTTAGTGGATAGTGTCGTAGATCGTTGAGACACGGACAGAGCAGTTCTTGTCGCTGTGGGAGGGGGGAATTTTTGCAGAGTGCAACCCCTCCCCATATTTCTTCCTTCGGTGTGTCTCCCCCGTTCTCCCTTCCCAATTCACCTATCATCTTCTGACGGTTTCCCAACTTCCTGCCAGGATTTTCTAGCTTAATTTCCTCCAAAAAAAACTGGCAACAAGGGGCTAGTCGCCTTCAAACAACTACAAGTTCAAACTAAAAGCGATGATGCTATTAAATGAATAAAGCCGCTAGAAGCAAGAACAACTGCACTCCTCCCTGCTCACCCCACCGCCTGTGGGAGTTTTTCAACGTTGTGGACAGCGCGCGTGAAGCAGGAAAAATCAACTATCAAAGCAAAGTTCTCAGGCCCAAACAGGGCCCAGAGGAAGTCGCTGTCCCTGCTGGGGGTTCTCCGACGTGTAGCGTTCCTGGGCCCCGATATGGCAAGGAATCTTGCATAGTTGATGGGAATTAGCCGCCTCCGGTTCTACCAAGTTTTCTGTGTAGCTCTGTGGTCAGCAATTTGTCATCAGTCCTATGCAGATATTCGACTGAAGACAGACGACTTCTAAAAAATTATAAATTCTCATGAAAGATGAAAGGATAAGAGCGCTCCGATGTGATGAATTGCTTTCTGCATTGGGTACCATTCGGAACCGGCTTTTGAACGTGTAATTTGCCTGGTCGTAATGAAAGATAAATTGCTTGGTGTTGACTGATCTCTGAAAAATACCAGGCGCACGACTTCTATTCGTGGTCATAGTGACTTTTAAAAGCGTACAATGAGATTGAGGGTCGGCTAGGTGCAGATCAATACTTCTGTATTCCTGTATTCCCTTAGAAAAGACCGGTAACATTTACTTGACCGAAAGAATGAAGCTCCAGTCATATATGAGCGAGATCCGGTCCACTGACCGCGTATCTGAAGTTGGCGCCCGCAAGCTGTTGCCGCCCCCTCCCCTGTTAGTCTAGAATTTATGCCTGCTTGTAAGTTTTGTCGATACAGTTGGCTTGATGGGGACATTTTGCTGCTTCCCATCGATCGCTGCCGATGCTTCCTGAGGAAACCTGTAAATTCATGTAAATGTGTACAGTAGCATGAGCTTCGTTTACATTTGACAAGAGTACAGTTCTTATCTAAAGGTGAAACGTGGGCAATCTGATCAGAAACTGAGCATAGGAATTTAGTGAAATGAGTGTTCTCTCCCGCCCCTCCAGTCAAGCCGAAATGGCGCTTTTTTTGCTGGCAGAATGGAATGCATGGTGTTAAATCAACGGTGTTGCACGTACAAGTGAATCAAGAAAAAGCGTGCATAGGAATTCATACCCGAAACCTTTAGTGAACATATATGTGTGGAGAAGCTGTTGATTCTCAACAGGACTTTTCAGATTTTCTGAGTATGACATTTCAGATTACGCTTGTTAGCTGGTGTATCTGGAGCGGGCGCGTATGCAGCATGGAACTTAGAAGAGTACGATGTGATGCCCTTCTGGAGAATCCTTGGCTACTGGCTCCACATTCGGTGAGTAGCTTTTCAAAACTTGTTGAATAGACTATGGATAACTTTTAGCGCTGCTGAAGCTAACTGGGCTAAAGTACCCATTTGGAAGATGAAAATGTGCGCGATCTATTAGGAACAGGTGAATATTAAAGGACCAGTGGTTTGGTTATTTTGTAGCTTTTTGCCAAAGATCTAATATCTTTTAGTTCCACCTGATTGCGCACTGATCTGCGTAATCAGGTGGAATTCGTCCGTAGCGATGTGCATGCGTTGCGATCCCAGGAATCAGCTCCAATTGAATGTGCTCAGCCTGGGGCAGAATAGTGGTGAACCGTGATGCGTTCGAGACTTCGCGTTTCGGCACTTTGAAAAACACATTTCGCGCTACTCACATGGGTAGAGACAGCGATATATCCCACTGGCGCGTTTCTTCGCTTTAATGCCCTAGAGTGGGGCGCACCAATGAGAATAGCTCTCTGCCTCCGCCCACTCGGATATGGCGGGATGTGCCTTTCGCTACAGTCGTTGCCAACTTAGCTGATCTCTGGTTAGGGAGAGGGGGTCTGACTTCCAGTTTAACGATGAATACATGTGGTGCGACCGTTCTCATAGGAATGATCCCTTTTAGACGCGAAGCTTGCACACATCTGCATCTTTGTTGGCAGCGACTAGAAACTAGCTTGTTTTACCTATGTTTTCTATGAAATTCTAACCATTTTATTTCTTCTAGCCCGACTCACAAGATAAATCCAGTCAGGTTGGTAGTTTAGTACTTAATGGTGTTGTTGTGGTGTGCTGTGTATACGTTTTGTTATTTGTTTGCTGTTTTTACTCACGTACTAACCGTCACTAATCTGGCGCGCTAAGGCCGAAGAGTACGATAATTCTTTTTGGATTACAGGAATGTAATTTTTGCACAAGCGCTCCTTTATATGCTCCCTCCCCCTCCCTTCATCAAGCTTTTTAACGCTAGAAACACTAAAAGGTCTGCTATTTAAAGGCATGCTAGTTTTACAAGCGCTATCCTCATCGTCGTCAAGGAAATGCAATGGGCTCTGACTGGGGCCAGTGATCTACTGCCCACGCCATCCAGAATGCAGCCCATTTTTGACGCGACTCTTTCTCCGTGGACAGATTTGGCTGCAACGATGTTGGCCTAGTAGGGTATTTGCCTCCTAGTAATTTGACCTCCTGAATACGAATATCACATTCGCTTAGCCTGAAACTTCCTGGCGCCCGCGCCACAGGCGCCAGTGATTTGGGGTATTTTGGCGCCAGCGCCTGTAGCGCGGGCGCCAGGAGGTTTCGGGCCAAGCGAATGTGATATTCGTGTTCAGGAGGTCAGACTACCCCTGGAACAAGTTTTCAGCGAATTTGGTGATTTAGGGTATTTTGGCGCGGGCGCCAGGAGGTTTCGTGCCGAGCGGATGTGATATTCATGTTCAGGAGGTCAAACTACCCCAGGGAACAAATTTTTAGCCAATTCTGCCAACGCAGAAAAAGTCGGTCAAAAACCGGCCTGTTTTTGGAAGACTGGGGCAGTAAAGGGTAAATAGTGCCAAAAAAATTTATGCTTCAGTGCTGCCTAAAATTCCTCTGTTTCCCCTTCTCTTACGTTCATATGTGCTTGCGAATGAGTACTATTCAGATGTAACTCCTTTAACACGTTCCGAACCGCGTGACACACATGGTGTGTCATGCATTTGTTTCTATGCGGTGTTTTATTCGATTAATTGGGCTTTTCTTTCGTATTCTAATGTTGTGAAAACAGGTTACCTGTCACGAAGAATACATTCCTCATAAGCGATTAGGATGAGGGAGGAACTTACTATTGACGAAAAATGATGAACCTGAAGATGCGCGCTGTACGGCAATCCGCAATGTGTTAAAAGTACCGTAACCCTATTCATCCTGACTATTCTACTAAAAAATCCGCTGAAATTACATCTATAAAGTAGAGATTTAGTGCTTGGATTATGAATATGGCATTCATAACTAGCAGCATGTTGACACCATAGCTTGCTTTTACCAAATTTCTAAGCACACCTTTTTTCCACAAAATTTCTAGTCATATTTCTTACAGAGGCTATTTAGCGCCATTTTGACGCCAAGTGGCATTGGATTCAAGAATAAATATTAGATTCGTGACCGTTGCCAAGACAATATCCCAAGAAA